CCGGCCCAGACAGCCGCTCTCCCGAAACAGCACTGGCGCTGCGCCCCCCTAAGCCGCGAGAGCCTTCCCGCTGCGCCGCCCCCCCCCCCCCGGAACCCAGCGTGACGGCACATGGTATGGAATACTGGGCTCTGTTTGGCCAGGTGGGGTCAGCCCCCGCCCCCCGGCTGTGCCCCTTCCTGGAGTCCAGTGAAAATTAACCCTGTCCTGGCCAAACCCAGGACAGGTGCACATTGCGTTCTCCAATCCAGGTGCTGGATGTGGCTGAAAGCCTTGCGGAGGGAGGGCAGGTTCATTTCACTAACACTGAGCACAGCAGGCACTTCCCAAAAATAGTTTTCTCTTGCCTCCATGGACTTGGTGCCCACCTCTAAAGCAGAAAAAGAATGCTTAGACTTTTGGGTTGGAGCTTTTAAAAAAAACAGGAGAAAGCAGCCTGTTGGTTGCAGTTAAATGTTAACCACCTATGCAGTGATCGTTGAGATTTTTGACTTATTTGCTTCAGGGCCTTTGTAAAGAATTTCCAGTCGCAGCTTGTACTGGTATTGCCAGTGCAAGGCAGGGAGACTGCCAGTTAACCCCTAGTTTAATGGTCTTACTCGGTGCAACCCTTACTAGATCTCCTTACCTTCCTGGTAACTGTTTCACTGCTGCAGTACAGTGTCAATGGTCGCAGAACAGAAGTATTTCTGCAGAGCTATAGCTTGATAAACTGTTTTGCTTCCCAGCTGATTAATTTACAGTGCCTTGAGAGCAGTCAGCTTGGGACTGGAAAACATGAATTGCAAACAGGAGCTCTGAACTTCTGCTCATGCAATGGTTTTGTCTACTTAAATTCGTAGTAGGCTTTCTGACTTGGTGGATAGTGAACACTACGCTGCAAGAGTCTGGCTTCCTTGGCAACTTCAGACTGACCTTTGAAAAAACTTTAAGTTCTTCAGGAAAGCGGTGATTTCCCTGATACCTGGGAGAAACTTCAACTTTTCTTGGAAATCGAAGGATTAATGGAAGCTGTGTCTGTAGCAGAGTTCAGTGTTTGCTTAGTAAGGGGGTAGATTCCATGTTCTGTACTTCTCACTGACAGTTTGTCTGTGTTCTGGTTTGTAGCATATGGCCCTGGCTGATTTCTCTTCTGAACAGCTTCCAGCCTCATGAAGAAGACCTGTCCAGTAATAATGGTAAGAATGCTTTTAGTCTGTGCTGTAAAGAACCGGGAACGATGCATGTTTTTGCTGATGTGGGGAATTGCAGTTGAAGAGCAAGTAAGGGAGCAAGTTGTCTTCTAGTGTTAGTGCATATGAGTACTTCGCAAATGCTGCTTTCTCGTGCCGAGCAGACTTTGCTCCCCTTTATCATTCCTGAGCTCCTCAGGCTGCAGGGTGGACCAGTACAGATGAACATGTCAATAAAACACTTTGCTATGTGTAGTGACCTTGCTGAGGTACCTACCTATGATACTGTACTCAATGTATTCATGCTTTCCTTACGCTCTTTACTGTCTATTCACCAGCAACCCCCCTTCCAGAAGAATTTGAGTTGCAAGGATTCTTGGCGCTGAGGCCCTCGTTCAGGTGGGTGGCAGCTGAAGGAAACTGCTCTTGCTGATATCACTCCGTTGATAGACGTTGACCAGTTCCCTACAAAATCTTATGCAGGAGTATTTACTGGTGTGTGGATTGATGTAGGTGTCTTTGAGAAACAACTGTAATAGCGTAGTGAAACTCTGGGGAAAGTCGTGAGCTTATAATATCGCTCATGAATTTTTTTCTTTTGTAGTCTTCAGACTCATAGATTGAAAGGCAGAAGTATGAGAAGTGAGGGAAGGAATACTTTTACATGAAAATTCCTTGGTGTGTTTTTACTCTGCCAATTTTTTACCCTGTTTTTAACTGCGTCCCTGTACCTAACATCATACACAAATGCTCACTAAATATTAGATATATTTACTCAACTATTACTTTTGTGATTTTGATTATCGCACAGATGAACTTTCAGCCTTTTGTTTTATTAAAACCCACCAAATCTCTTTAATGTAGATGCATCTTACCAGAAGAGAATTGCATCTGTAACAGTCGTGTTTTGAATAGGAACTGGTGAAACTTCACAGCTTATACTAGAGTAATGCTGACCAGTTGCATTTCTAAAGAAATGTGATGTTGCAGAGGGCAATTGTGTAATAATAATATTCCCTCTGCTATGTCAATACTAGGAACTTGGATTTTTCCAAAGGCCACCAGGCAATTACAGGAGATAAGGAAGGGCAGCAACGCCGGATACGGCAACAGCGTCTGATCTTCACAGGCAAATGGATTGCTGATAACCAGCCAAGGTAACTGCAAATAGAATCTGTGTGTTTCAGTTGCTGCTGTAAGCTTAGGTAACGCAGGTGCCAGAGTTGAGCTGTATTTTTCTCACTATTTGACAGAGCAGCGAGATGCAATGTGACTGCAAGATGCTGACAGCACTGATATTGTGTTCTGTGGGTCAGCATGCCGTTGCTGTGTAAACTGGTTATGACAGGGAATGTATTTGGAGTGGAGCATCATGTCCGAGTCGTTTTTAGTGCTACTGCAGCACAGCTAAGTGGAAACAGTACTTGCAGTGGTAGCAAGAGTGTTAGCACGTGAGCTTACGTCATGCTAGCGAACGCCCTTAGCTGGGAGACGTGGTGCAACATCTTGTTGTTGCTGGGGTGAAGGGATGCGGGGTGGAGATGTTGACTTTCTGCTTTTATAATCTGGGGAAGTGGGTTACCCTGCGAAAAACTATTCCTGCTTCCTTTTCAATTCCTTTCTGTCTTTTTCAGGTTGATTCAGTGTGAAAACGAGGTAGGAAAGCTGTTGTTTTTGACGGAAATCCCGGAATTACTACTAGAAGACCCTAGTGAAGCCAAAGAGAGCCTGGCCTTGCAGGAAACGTCTATCGCAGAGCCGCTATCTACAGATGGGAGCCCTGGACTCAAATCAGTTCTGTCCTCTGGCAGAAGCCTGAACAACAACTGTGATGCAGGAGAAAAACCGATGGTCACGTTCAAAGAGAACATCAAGCCACGGGAAATTAACAGAGAGCAAGGGCGAGTCTATCCCCCTAAAGAAGTAGGCAGGGAAAGACGGGACTGTAGCAAAGGAATAGTAGCCAGCAAGAATGATGCAAAGAAGGATAACAATAAAAGAAAGAACGAGACCAAGAAATGCGGCTTGGAAAAGATGCAGGAAGCAGGAAAGCAGAACGTGGCAGTTCAGGTAAGCCTTTAGATCAGAGGGATAACTGCTTTGTAGGCAGTACGATGTTTGTGTCAGGGCTGTTGCTGCTTGTACAGAGTACGGTAGGGTCGAGGTCTCACTGTGGGCCCTGCAGGTACAGCTAATGCACAAAAAAAACCCCATACACATCTGTCTCCAAGACCAGGTATTAGTGATCTTCGGGTTTCTGCCCTTTTCTTTGATCCTGTCTCAGTTCGTTGGGGAGGAAAAGGTAGGGAGCAATGAAAGGTGATTTTGCTATAGTAACTGTCTTAAAAGAAGACTTCTACCTGTTGTTCCACAGATTATTTGGGCTACCCAGGCAGTTCACATGGCCAGGTCTCAGTCGTGCTCTTGGTCTGTTGTGAAGGAGCTGGGTGCTCTGCGTTTTTGGTTCAGTTGGCTTGTGCACATTCAGTAGGTTAAACACATCACAAAAGCACCCGGTTGTTTATGTGGACTAAGATCCTCCGTACTGCGTGTGCAGTCAGGTGGCCCTCTGGAAGTGAGGAAAGCCACACTGCACTTAAACTGTAATTCTGTGCTCAGACACTTGCTCAAAATTGTAGGCTTTCATATCAGCTGCTCTGTTCTCAGTCGTGTTTCTGAGGCATGCTTTTTCCCCCCTGTTTCTGTGAGCATTATGTACGAAAGTGCTCACCTCGTAAGCAGGTAGTGAATTTACTGGTGTGACTTCCATGGAGTTGTAGTAAATGAGGGTGTAGAATTTCGGGGTTGATCTGATCTGTACCTGAATAGTTTGGCTGCATCTCAGTCATTCCCTGATGATGTCTGGAGGCACTCAATGATAGTGATGGAGGCTCTATTATTTCCCTAGAGAAACTGTGTCAATTCTTCACCGTTCTTGCAAGTGGAAATTATTTCCTAATGCCCTTCATCTCCCTTGCTGCTGTGTAAGCCTATTACTGCTTCCCAGGACAGGTCTGCAGACTAACTGAAGTACTCCTCTTTGCAGCTGCTCTGAAGGCCTGTGTAATTGAGGTCTTGTCTTCCCTAGGCTAGACAAACCAGCTCTTTCAGTCTTTCCAGCTTGTGTTGTTAGGACCCTTGGATCATTCTTCTTGCTCTCCTCCTGATTATTTGCTGTTAAACGTCCTCGTTATGAAGTGGAAGGTCTGAACTGGCAGTGGTGTTCGGTTGATTTTGCAAGGGGTCCTGCCAAGGAGGGTGAAGGGGAACAGCCTGTGGAGTCAGAGTCATCGAACAAGATTCTGCTATCTGAAAGCTAACGTAGGTGAGTTAGAGTAGCAGGTTTCTTACTTATTTGTTGAACACGTCTGGAATGTGGCTGTAGGCCTGAGCACAGCTCCCAGTTTCAGTGTTTGTGCCCCAGTCTTGCAAAATAAGGACTTGAGGTGGATAAAACCCACCGGGTCTTCTGAGAAGTATGTGTAGTTTTTTGGGTAGGGAAGATATTTTAATTTAATTTTAACCCAGCTGATTTATCAGAAGCTTGCTTGTCTTAGTCTTAAGAGATACCAAACCCAGGAAGAACTTACTTCAAACCCAGCTGTAGTGGCATCTGTCCTGATGTGGTTGGTCACTCTTCATCTCTTGCTGAATAGAAATTAATTTTGACTTTTCAGTTCCATCAGCTGTATTTGTTATGGCAACTATTCCAGTGAAATGCCTTTTGTTTTATATAGTTTGGTGGACTTATTTATCCAGACCTGCTCCAGAAGATGGGGAGGGTTTGCTTCCCAGCTGCTGAGGAGGGTTTGTGCCTGTAGGTACAAACCTATAGGTTTTGTACCGGTTGGTGGTCTGTTAGTGCTCTGCGTTGGCCTTCCTGGAAATGGGAGGCTTTATCCTCTCCAGAGTTCGTGGCCTTCAGAACCCCAAATGCTAGAAGTGTTGCAGCTCCTACTTAGCAAAAATGTGAAGAATGTTACATGGAAGTCGTTAGTCCTGTTTCACAGGTAACTGGAGAACTTGCCCACTCGGACAGGATCATGAAAGTGTGACATAGGCTGAACCTCTGCTCTCTAGGGAAAATAGCATTAGGTGCCGAGGGGGGTTTAATGCAGACTTACTCAAGGCGTAACAGATGCTTACAAGGTCACTGTGATGAAATGGTGCTTCTCAAGCACCATGTAGGAACGGTCAGGACCACTGGCGGAGTAAATACTTGGTAACATTGACACTTTTGAGGTGAAGTCAAGTAGAAGCAGGGAAACAACTGAAGTTTGTCTTGGTTCATCAATTTTAGTTATTTAGCTTTTAAAAGTTAACTATAAATCATGCGAGGGGTCTTTTGTAAGCCACCTTTGGAAGTGTGTTATAGCAGCTTGGAGCTTATGATGGACTAGAGCTTATGTTTTGAAACCCCACAGCAGGAA